AGCTTTTATACCCTAAGTTAGTACATTTCTAAGGGGAAGATAGTTTAACATTATGTCAGCTTGTCCTTGACGAAACCAGGGTGTTTTCTGCATACTTCTTTGTTTATGAGGGTCTTGTACATTATCTTCTGGCCTTGGGGCCTATTAACATTTTATGCAGGTCAGGTGAATGTAAACCTATTTTCTGTTTCTATGGTGACCTTAATTGAAAGGTAGCAGTCTCATAGGGCAATAGTACAGAGTAGAATTATATCTTTGTTAATACAAAAATTAATCCTTCTGCAAAAGTTATCAGTTGCGTTTATCTAAGAAGTTTATCCCATACTGACTCTGCTCGACTTTGGTGAGGCAGCTTCTGCCTAGCACTCCTGGCTGACAATTAACAACCATCTAGTGTCACCACACTAGGGTGGTATTTCTCTAGGCTCTTATTTCTCTAGATCTTTAGCTATATTAACAATGGTTTCTATAACACAACCTTAGCACATTAAAAGCAAAACACAGCAAGCAAACGTCAACCCAATAACCACCTTTAGAATAATTTTTCTTATGTTTTCTAATAGGACTTCCTCACTTCCCGAAGGGCTCTATGTCTACTAGGGCCTTTATATAATCAGGTTCTTTATGCTATTTTATGATTAGGATAATATAAGCAATCATGCATATTAGTACCAAGGGCATAAATGCATTTGGCTAACAAACTACCAGCAAAGGAGTTTAAATTAAAACACTCCTTTCACCCCAAATAATCTCATAAAATACCACCACCTGGGAAACTTCTTGATTAAAGTTCTAAATTGATTCTTATTTGGGAAGAGATCGGGGAAGGCCTTCTGCCTGTGTCACAGAAATTAGGGAGTAGTCTATTGAGGCAGGCATCAGAAAGACAGATATCATCTTTAAGGTGAGTGCCGGGGGCAGCTATTCGGAATCCCTGAAAACCTGATCTGCCTTGCCTGTCAGGCTTTCTCTTCATGACCTTGTCATGGGTGGGATCTCGTGAGCTGGCCTTTTCGAAACCCCTGAAAACCTGATCCGCCTTGCCTGTCAGGCTTTCCCCTCGTGACCTTGTCATGGGTGGGATCTCGTGAGCTGGCCTTTTCGAAACCCCTGAAAACCTGATCGGCCTTGCCCGTCAGGTTTTCTCCCTCATGACTTTGTTAGGGGTAGGGTCTCGTGAGCTGACCTTTTCGAAACCCCTGAAAACCTGATCTGCCTTGCCCGTCAGGTTTTCTCCCTTATGGCCTTGTCATGGGTAGGGTCTCGTGTGTTGGCTCCCGCATCTCTCCCTTTTTTTACTTTTTAAGACAGCCAGATGGATCTCAGTCGCAAGCTTCTGAGTGCTCTGCCGGAGAGTTCTGACAATGCAAGGAAGGATTATAATGAGAAGTAAAACTGGGGCTGCTATACCAGCGTAACTGAAAATAGTTGATAAGATATTTTTTCCAGTAATAAAGTTAGAAAGTGTATGAAAAAAATCATTAGCAGCTGCTGCAGCAGTAAAGTCCAGGCGGGAATGTTCTAAGGTTTTTATCTGACCGTGAAGCTTTCCAAGATCTAAACTAATGCTGGAGCTATTCCATACACCTGAAATATGATTTTTAATCTTTTCCCAATTGTAATCCGTATCATTTACTTTTAGGGGTGTTACACAGATCCACCGATAGTCGGCGTGACAGGATAACGCTAACTTTACCCTTAAAGCCTGCAACTCAGTTCCAATATGCATGACTGCTTCTTCTAGAGCATCTATTTTTCCTTCTAATTTCCTATCTATAATCTCTTGCATAGCTAGAGCTAAAGAAACATTTTTGACATATCATTGACATATTGAGCAGTATGTACTTGTTGAGTCAAGGATATCGCCACCACAGTGACAGAGGTAATTGCTGTTATCAAAACTGAAATCCCTAGAATAAGTAGTCCTACAAAGCGCTGGGAATGCATTAAATCTTGTAGTTGTTGCAGAACGGCTAAACCATAATTGTCATATCAATAGGCATTCACTATGACGGGCACCATAAGATAAGGTGGACGTTGCAGCACCACAAAAGAACAAATATTATATTGAGGGGTTAATATAATGAGATGAGAGCATGCATGGTTCACAGTAGACTATATTTGGTCCACCTGAATAATTCAGTTGTATATGAAGTCTTTTTGAATCCTTAGTAAACAAACAAACAAACAAAAAACATAAGGGGAGGGTAAACAAGCCAGCACAGAATAGGTGGAATTGTTTTCTGGCCGAGTTAAAGTAACAATGGAGGTGGGAGCAAGGGCTCTCTAAATTTCTGGTTGCCAAATAGTTGTATAGGACAACATGGGGGGAACAAATTGATTATAATACCATCTGCTGGGCACCAATGGCCAAGGGAGAGAATCATTTTTCCAATTGCTAAACCTACTGACATAGTCAGAAACAGATCTTAGATTCTGACTTGGATTTGGATTGCTCCAGTCTTGTACCGAATAGTTTACACCTCCCCCGTATTCTATAATCTATTTTTGAATTATAAGTACAAGATTTTCATACCGGATATCCAAGGCGATTGTCTATAGTTTTCCATATGACATCTGACGGAGCAACATCAATACAATTTGGATATTTTGGTGGAGCATTAAGGAACAAGGATTTATAGGGATCACGGACCCCGGACATATGGGCCTCTAATACCCAAACCAGCCGATCTCCTGTTTTTTCTGAAAATTTTGATGTTGGAGAATTTGTCAGAATTGCTTTCTTAGAGGCTCCAACACACCCCTCCTTAGAGGGAGTGATGAGATCACTTGTATGACTATGGGGGGAGTTAAAGCAAAGGGGAAGATCATCCATTAATCCCCTAAAAGTATAGTTAAAATTGATGGGGTAGTGATCTTTATCATAAGAAGAATAGGATCCTCCCAAGAGATGAGGCTGGTCTGTGTTGACCCGTATAGGGTCGCTGTTCCAAGTGACTACTTGGAAGGTCAGGGGATCAGGAGAGAAAACCACAATTCAAAAAAACACTTGTTGGAGAAGGTAATGGCAACCCACTCCGGTATTCTTGCCTGGAGAAGTCCATGGACAGAGAAGCCTGGCAGGCTGCAGTCCATGGGGTTACATGACTGAGCAGGTGTGAACACGATTGGAGGGAGATGGGTTGGTAGCAATAAAGTGGTAGAACTAAACAAACAAACAAACAAACACTTGTACCCCAGTGTTTACTGCAGCACTATTTAGAATAGCTAGGACACTGAAGCATGGGTTTCCCTTGTGACTCAGCTGATAAAGAATCTGCCTGCAATGCGGGAGACCTGGGTTCAATCCCTGGGTTGGGAAGATCTCCTGGAGAAGGGAAAGACTACCCACTCCAGTATTCTGGCCTAGAGAATTCCATGGACTGTATAGTCTATGGGGTTGCAAGAAGTCAGATGCGATTGAGCGACTTTCACACACACAGGACTTGGAAGCAACCTAGACATCTATTGACAGATGAAGTTGTGATACATATATACAATGGAATATTACTCAGCCAAAAAAGGAACAAATTTGAGTCAGCTGTAGTGAGAAGGATGAACTTAGAGTCTATCAGGCAGAACAAAATCAGAAAAACAAATATTGTATATTAACACATATATACGGAGTCTAGAAAAATGGTACTGATGAAGCTATTTACAGAGAAGACATGGATATGCAGATGTAGAAAATGGACTGGTGGACACAGTGGGAGAAGGAAAGGGTAGGATAAATTGATACACTAGCACTGACCTACATGCATTATCATGTGTAAAATAGAGAACTAGCAGGAAGCTGCTGTATAACACAGGGAGCCCAGCCTGGCACTATGTGATAACTGCCAACTAAAAAAGATGCACAACTTGAAGGGAGGGGATATATGTATACCTATGGCTGATTCATGTTGAGGTTTGACAGAAAACAACAACATTCTGTAAAGCAATTATCCTTCAATTAAAAAGCAAATTAAAAAAAAAAAAGATGTACAACTTGAGAATTGTAAGTTAAACTTTATTTAGGGCAAAATGAGGACTGCAACCCAGGAGGCAGCACCTCAGATAGCTCTGAGAGACTACTCCAAAGAGGCAGTCAGCGAAGGTCAATATATAAGGTTTTGGTGAAGGAGGAGTTTAGTGCAATCAACTGCTTACTTTACAAGAGGTGAGTCATGAGGATCTGATGTCACCATGAAGGGATTTATTGCTTCTCTAGATATGAGGAGGTGCAAGGACTGGAATCATAAAATCAACTCCTGAAAATATCTAACTATCTAAAGACCTGTCCCACCAGACTCCTTGGAGCACATTCCACTTTGAACTTCCTCAGAGGGTGTTGAAGGTCAACAACTGCAGCAGCACAGGGTTCAATCTCCACAGAGGCAGGTGGCAAAGGCCCTTGTTCAGTCACTGCCAGTGCTCTCGGCTCTTGCCAATGCTCAGTGCCCATTCATAGTTGACACAAGCTAGGGGAGTGGACTGGTAGGGGGTGCTCAAGAGAAAGAGGGTATGACTGATTTGTGTTGATTTACAGCAGAGACCTCCACAACACTGTGAAGCAATTGTTATTGTTAGTCACTGAGTCCTCTGACTCTTTGCGACCCCGTGGACTGCAACTTGCCAGGATTCCTGGTCCTTCACCATCTCCTGGAATTTGCTCAGACTCATGTCCCTTGGATCAGTGATGCTATCTAACCATTTCATCCTCCACCACCCCTTTCTCCTTTTGCTTTCAATCTTTCCCAGGATCGGGGTCTTTTCCAATGAGTTGGTTCATTGTAAAGCAATTATCTTCCAATTCCCTGGTGGCTCAGATGGTAAAGCATCTGCCTACAATGCGGGAGACCCAGGTCCAATCCCTGGGTTGGGAAGATCCCCTGGAGAAGGAAATGGCAACCCACTCCAGTACTCTTGCCTGGAAAATCCCATGGACCGAGTAGCCTGGTGGGCTACAGTCCATGGGGTCCAAAAGAGTCGGACACAACTGAGTGACTTCACTATTACTATCACCTTATGACTAGAAGCAACCTTCTATCGAGATGTGTGGTTCACTCAACTCATAGCTCTTACACTATGTGTTTTTTCAGTCAACAAATCTTAAAAGTTTAAACTCTGAAATATATGCCCTCAAAGATTTCAAAGGAGAGGTTGTGCACCTCTGGCAACCTTCTGGCTATTTCTGAATTTTGCCCAAACTCCACCTGTCAGTTGCACCACTTGATCCTCATGACCCTGTAGGAAAGCCAGGAAGGTATTGTCTGAAAAGGCTGTGTCTGATCCCAATCTTCCTGAGACTAGGAAGATTAGGTTTACTAGGGCTCAATCCCGCCCTAGGCTCCACCTACCCTCCTCATTTATTATTAACAGCCTGAGGACCCACCTGGACTTTCCTTGCTGCCTTTGAGGAAATTCATTCTTCGGGGACAAGCATGGCCTGGAAGATCACACCACTGCTGTGCCTTTTGGTGTGTGTGGCTGCTGTGCGGGCAGCCCGGCCCAGGACTCAGCTCCTCAATGTCTGCATGAATGCCAGATACCACAAGGAAAAGCCAGGTCCCGAGGACAAGTTACACGAACAGGTAGGCAGAGGGGCCATCTGGGATGGGGAAGAGCTGCCTCGGGGGACGTCTACCCCCATCCTTGGCGGAGGCAGGGAGGTTCCTGAACAGCTCTTTCTTCAGTTTGCAATGACTCTTTTACACACACTGTGTGCCCAGTGTGGTCACAACAATGCCTAGAGCTCAGCTTCTTGGTCGTTGAGTTTCCGTGTTACTCAAATCAGGAAGCAAGCCTGGAGAGACCTTTTGGGGGAAAGGAGGGGGTTGATTTTCTTTTTTTAATTCTTTTTTAAAAAGTTTATATTTGGCTGTGTTGGGTCTTCGTTGCGGCCCACAGGCTCTTTGCTGCTCTAGGAGGACTTAGCTGCTCCGTGGCATATAGAAATCTTAGTTCCCCTATCAGGGATCAAACCCATATCCCCTGCACTGCCAGACAGATTCTTAACCACTGGACAAGCAGGGAAGTCCCCTTAATATTCTGCTTTTATACTAAATTCTAGGCCATGGGTTTTCATTCATTCACAAGATCATTGTGTATTTCTGTAATTAGAACTCTACTGGGGTTGCGATTCATTTAACTTGCTTCCTCACCTTCAGGTCTTTATCACATTCCCAAAGAGGCTTAAGCTGGTCATTCCAGAAAACTAAAATTTCCTGTTCCTCTCCTGCTGTTTTTGCCCAAAGCAATTATCCAGTGCTAAGTTTCATTGTGTTCCCAGTTCCTAGAAAAATGCCTGGGTTAGAAATGGGAGCTCAGTAAAAATTTGAATTAATGAATGTTGTGATGACTGCTACCCCTGGGATCCCACAGTCTTGGAGAACCCTGTCCCCCAAAAGGGTCCCTCCACACGATGTTTCTCTGAAGACTGTGAGGAATCAAGGACTGAAGGGGAGAGGCGGGAATATTCTGGTTGTGCTGGGTGTGAGAGCTCACCCTCTCTCACATCCAGAGAGTGTGAGAGAGTCCCTCTCCCTTCCCCCCACCCCAACAGTGCAGCCCTTGGAAAAAGAATGCCTGCTGCTTTGCCAACACCAGCACAGAAGCCCATAAGGATATTTCCAGCCTGTACAGATTCGACTGGGACCACTGCGGCAAGATGGAGCCTGCATGCAAGCGCCACTTTATTCAGGACACCTGTCTCTACGAGTGCTCACCTAACCTGGGGCCCTGGATCCAGGAGGTATGGGCACCAGCCCTGCAGCCTCAGCAGAGGACAGCCCCCTAGCTGACCCACCCCCAGCCACTTGCAGGGACGCTACAGGAATTCTGGTCTGAGGAGGGTCGTGGGAACACCTCTTTTGCCCCTTTCCTGTTTGCCCATTTCTGTTCCCCTCTAACCATCAGTTCAGTTCAGTCACTCAGTCGTGTCTGACTCTTGTGACCCCATGGACTGCAGCACACCAGGCTTCCCTGTCTATCACCAACTCCCGGAGCTTGCTCAAACTCTTGTCCATCAAGTCAGTGATGCCATCCAACCATCTCATCTTCTGTCGTCCCCTTCTCCTCCCGCCTTCAATCTTTCCCAACATCAGGGTCTTTTCAAATGAGTCAGTTCTTCACATTAGGAGGCCAAAGTACTGGA